ATGTTTTAACAAATAGAGGCACTCCATTTCAGATAACGAAGACTGAATTGCAAATAAAATAGTTCTTTTATCCACCACCTCTTTGCAATTGAATATTGTAAACCAAAGAAAACATAATAGCCAGCTAGCTGTTTTGTTTTGGCCAGAATCACTTGCAAACAAATCCAGAAGCAAGTCAACACATTGCATTTCAAAGCGCAGACACTACCATGCATCAGGCCACGCCCGACTTACGATAAATGTTTCAGATCTCAAAAACCTCTCTAACTCTCACTATATAAAAACAGCAGCAGAATCACTCCCGAAGTTTGTAGAATACATTTCATGTTTGATGTAGGGAAATATCTCGTTCTCCTAGCACGGCTGATGAGCGTGCTTGGAAAATATCACGGCTCCGGATTTTGCAGTTAACTAATCTCTTCACCTGATATGAGATCACTTTGCTATGGCAAAAACAAACTACTTAAAGAGTGCGTGTCCATCAATTAACAGTAAAAAGGTTTATTTTAGTATATAACTATCAATTCTAATCTGTGTATGCATGGAATATTGCCAGAGTAAATTTTCCGCCTGAAACAAACTGTAACATATTTTTTTCGCGCGGTGTTTGAAGTGGAACGCGTTGTCACGAAAAATCATTGACATCAACTCTTAACTTGATTATAACTGTCAGTAAATAGGTTATTTTGAAAAAAAGTAAGGCGTTTTATTTTAAAAGTAGCATTCGAAGCATATGACAAATTCGAAAAGTTCAAAGTCTACCTAAGACGAATCATTCAGCACACATAATTTCGATCAGTATGGCTTCCATACGGTTAATCGTACAGTCTTATCTTACTTCTTGTGGGGAACAACACCCTGTGAGCGAAGAAGCTGATTTAGGAGCTCGAGTGTCTAAGAAAAAAATGTTATAGTAGCTATATGATCGCAGTTAACAATGTTAATGTTGTCCGCACATTACAAAATCATCACTGAAGCTTCGACCCACGCGCCGAGGATAAACTGAATAAGTTATCAATCTTCGCCTTGTCTGTGATAAGTAAACCAAGCTAATTGTTTGAATTCCACGAAAGTGTCGCTTACAATGGCAAAGTAACTACTCAGCTCTAAATTATAACCTGTCAAAATTCAGATTACCCAGCTTAGGGTGTAAATACTTTGAAAGCACCTAAGGATAAATCTAGGTCGATAAAACTTGCTAGCCTGATTACGAAATTTGTTTCCTATCCAAATTGAAAACAGTGACTTACCACCGTGATAAATGGCTTAGTCGACTTGTTGATCTTTAATTCTTCCGGATTTCCAAACCTCCTGACTTATGATAAATTATGGCCGTAATTACTTCGTCCACATCATGCAAGTAAAACCAAATTGTTTTTACCGAAGATTTTCTGATGTTGTGGCAAGGACTGAGGTGGACAAGTTCAACAGACGGAAAACCGGTTGGTAACAAATCTCTCTCAGAGAAATGAGCATTACCTCTTCTAACAGTTGACAGATATAAACCTCCTGAAATGTTCGCCTTACTTGCCGATTAGCGCTGTCACGTCAAGAAATACAATGTAGCGGAAAGTGCTTGTTCAGCGCCGTGTTATGCACGCAAACACATCAATGTCCCCTGAGCGTGCATGCGAGTTGCTGTCGAAATTTACAATCGAAGATAAGATACAAAACTATATATATTTTTTCTGGCATTGAGAGACTAATGAAGAAAACAGGCACATGTGGCTCTTTAATGGCTTCGTTCCCAATACGAAAATGGGTGTGACGTTAAACCTTACCAAAAGCTCTAGGTGATTATATGATAGGCTGTGCTCAGAGGAAGCGCCGATACATGTGTATAGTAATGGCTCGTGTTAGGAAAGTTAGTAGCCGCTCGACCAATTTAGGGTAATTAAAAGGCGACCCATTTTCAAAACGTCGGGGGTTCTCGCAGCCTTGAATAGCTTGATTCTTAACTCAGTTTGGATTGCAATTTCATAAGCGACTTGTCCCCTGAGAATTTCTTTTAAACACTTACACCTTGTCGCCTGCCGATGGAATTAGTAAACAGTTAAAGAAAGAGAGGCATGTAAACGGCTTACCTTTAAATGTACTTGCTTTGGTCGATAGAATTTGCGTAGCTTGCTTCAGATTCGTAGCTTCGTCTACGCGCGGAGTTGGCGGTCAGTTTAGCACGCTGCTCTAAGTAGGAAGCGCTTGAATTAAAAGTTCTTGCTAATTGGTCACAGATGCTGGAATTTGGTTTTTGACCTCCCTCTCACAAGAAGTCGCGATCGGCTTTTCCCAGTATTTCCGTTTCTCACCTGTTTTATCTTAAGTTCTTAATGAATTCATTCAGTGGGTTAGCAAACAGTGGTTATCATAAAACCTCTCATAGCATTAACTGTCTTATGGTCTCTTAATCATGGTTTACATAACGTTAAAAAAACCGTTACCTCTTCAAAAAGGAAAAATTCATGAACCCCATTATATTGGAGGAGGGGTTTGCTGCTAACTATAAATTTACAGCTGAGTTGAGATAACTGCTATGTTAGCTTCACAGACTTGCTGCGGTAAATAATCTGACACAGTTTGAGTAAAACGTGTTCTAAGCTGGAACAGCTGTCCCCTAAGAATGAAATCAAAATGAAGTGGACTTTACACTTTCAACCACAACCACGCTGAAGTGCTTTCATGATTTTAGAACTAACTCTCATATTGCCAACAGGTTTCCCCTGAGGTCTGCCAAGTGAAATGCTTGACAATATTCATTAGCCAGATGAAAGTAAAAGTAGAAAGTATTCTCTCAGTTTAAGTAAGTTTTGAAATCGGCTTTTTCTTGTCTGATCAATGCCATAGTGGGGAGGCGTCTTAAAGCTTAGCATTGAGCTATGCATTAGAGCTGTGTTGCATTGTTTAGACAGACTTGCATCATCTCGGTTTTATTCCTTTTAGAAATATAATTTAGTCGAGGGTAAGTTCCTTTTGAGGAAACGCCTACTAGCTCTGCTATGACATAAAACGTTATTACAACTAGCTTTATAATTTTAACCAAAAAGGAATAATAGCGGAAATTGCGTGGTAGCAGCCACCAGTTAGCAGTTCTAACCTCTGCAGTTTGCCTTAATCTATTATCCAGAAATTGACAAATATATTTAACCTTCAACACATGAAGAATAACAATGACAGTTCAATAAGTAATTAAAAAAAGATGAAAAACCCATTATACCGAGGAATTTGATATCGTGTTTTAATCCCTCTTTATTCCAAACTGATCACGGATCAGAGAAATGTTAAGCACATGCAGTTTCAATGTTGCAAGACATAATCCCAATTTGTAACATGGTTAAGCCAGTCAAGTCAAGAGCTGGGTGTAACTTGGTGACCTTTCTGATGTATAACAGTATCTACTACTAAATGAAATAATGCTACCCAGGGGGAGACGGTGGGATACTGTAGTACCATGCGGAAACGGACTTCTGTTTTTATTCGAGATTATTCCGATGTTCCACTCAAGGTCTTCTTGTTAATTTCTTAGAATTGGTCGCTCACGCAATTTTAGCTGAATTAGCCAGAAATATATCGATATATTACAAACTATACATATTACAAACCATTTCCGAATTGCTGTTGCCTCTG